TGACAGAGCAGCTGAACTGCTTCTTTGCACCCAGTCTCACCCTCCCAGCCCCCTCCAGACTCTAGCATCCAGACACACACTTTACAGGTCAGTAAACCAGAGGAAGGCTGCTGGTCCCGACAGGATACCTGGGAAGCAGTGTTAATGTTAACGGAAAAATTTTGTCATCGTTATCATCAACGACCTTCATTTTCAGACTAAAACGAGACGATATGACACTCAGCTATAATGCCACGAAATAAAAATGATTTTGCGAGACCTAAGACTATGACGAAGTGTATTGACACTTTCATCAACAAATTAAAATGAGACGAAAATGTTTGCCAAAGACGAGATACAATCAGGTCTAATGCAGTTCGTGTAAGTCAGTGCTATTCAACTGAATGTCCAGTTAGAGAAAATTTCTTGAAACAAAGGTCCAGAAGATCATAATGTCTAACTATTTAGTGTGATATATATTTAAGTAGCCTATTTGTTGTATCAACATTGCATGTAATCAATATCTGACTGTCAAATCCAATTCAGTTCAATTCAAAAACTTTTTGACAATATTTATTGTCATGTGACAGAGCTGAACATATATGTATGAGTGCCAAAATGTATAATGTTTTCTCATTTACTAGTTTTAAAAGGACATTTTAAAAGTAGGGCTGCATTTCAAAATAAGATAAAATAAAATTGTGCATGTTTAAATAAAGTCCTTAACTTAAGCCATAAAACCTTAATACAATCGTTTTTATGTCATATATTTTAGTGTTTGTGGATTTAAGTATGTTGTTTTAGAAAATCCCACGCTGGTAATAAAATTTAAGTCTTGTTTTAATATAAATACATACGAACTTATCACTTCAATCGCTATTACAGTAGGAAATGGGCGGTCATATTATTTCAAAACATATACATAATGTTACAGTTCTTACCTTGTAAATAGTCAGCTTTTGTATTTAACCATGTAAATACACTTTTGACGTAGCTAATTTTAGGTTTATAATGGAATAATATAGATTTGCCCTAAGATTTCCTGCATGAGTCTGGAAGCGTGAGCATCATACCAGAAGCTTGAGATTTGGCAGCCATGAAAACGTACATTTTTTGTTGATTTACATAACAAATAACATTACTTTATACAGTTGTTAAAAAGTGGAAACTTCAATGAACATGAAATCACTAATAAGGTACGTGTACAAATATTTCTATTTTAATATTCAGAGAGAGCAGGCCTGGTGGCATTATAGCCTATGCACTTTGAAGTGATTTTATTTTTGCACTAATGACACTACTGATTTTACAGTACTCAGTTTCTGGGTAAATAAACATAAGTTTGTGTTTCAAATAAGTGTGAAATCTATGTCTTTGTGTACTGCACAGTCAGACCTTAATACCATCCCTTAACATTGGTTTAATATCATCTTGGTGAACCTAATGACTTCCTGGCATCAAAGGGAAACTTTAAACATGACACTTTACACTTTTAATTTTAGTCGACTAAATCAACTGTAGTTTTAGTCGACTGTAATCTTATGATATTTAGTCAACTAAAAACTAAAATAATTTAAATGACTAAATTATGACTAAAACTAAATTACATTTTAGTCAAAAGACTATGACTAAAACTAAATAAAAATTTGCTGTTAAAATTAACACTACAACAGACCACATCGCAGAACAGCCCTGGTTGCTGCAGATACAGCATTGACATCACTGCCCTGACTGAAACTATAGGCTCCTAACAAAGGAACAAATACCAAACCATCAAGGATGCACCCTCACTCCAAACACTGGTACTTGACTGACACAAAGACCAAAGATCGACATCAGAGACGTCCTCATAGCCCATGACGTCCTCATAGCCCATGACGTCCTCATAACCCATGATGTCCTCATAACCCATGACGTCCTCATAACCCATGACGTCCTCATAACCCATGATGTCCTCATAACCCATGACGTCCTCATAACCCATGCTATGAGAGGTGCAGAATGCTGGACAGATCATTGCATGATTGTGGCCAAATTACACACGACAGTTGGCTCACCTGTCCGAGTACAAAAGTCAGGCAATAAAAGGCTACACTGTGTCCAGCTGAAAGGTACTGGGGCCAAAGATGAGTTTTAGAGGCCTTTGGCTGGGAAGCTATGAGAGATCAAAACATCTTTGTTGATGCAGCAGCCCAAACCATTGGATTCAGGTTCAAAAAACATCAAGATTGGTTTGATGAGACTCAGAGACCACCATCTGCCAGCTGGACAACATGCACAAGCTACATAAGGGGATCCCTGAACAACCCCTCATCTAGTACTTTCAGAGAGCAATGGCTAACAGGTTGGAGGGATGTAAAAGGAGACTTTGAGGACATTGGAGAATAAACAGGGGAGGAATAAGGCACACAAAATCCAAGAATATGCAGACAGAAATTATATCCATATTTTCTACATCTCGGTTAAATCCATTTATGGTCCAAGAAATTATTCTCTCACTCCCCCCCCCCAAAAAAAAGCTGATGGCCTTAAACTCCTAAAGGACCAGCAGAGAATTCAGTCATCATGCTCCAGCAGACTCCATGCCTGAAGAGCTGCCTGAATACCCCACTATTCATTCCCTCGGTCAGACACCAACCTTCTCAGAGGTTCTGACAGCTGTCTGCTCCCTGAGCCCTGGCATTGACAACATCCCTGCTGAGCTGCTGAAACACGGAGGATACCTCTGCACAGGGACACTGCACCGATTCATCAGCAGAGTATGGGAGGCGGAGAGAGTCCCCAGCAGAGGAGGGACACAAATATCTCACCATATATAAAATCAAGGGTGGTAAGTCCACCTGCAGGAGCAGTAGGGGAATTTCTCTCCGTGCTGTTCTGGTGACAGTGCTGTCAGAGACTGTGTTGAAGACACTGACTGATAACATTATGTGTTACCTGAGTGATAATGTGGATTTATGAAGAGCAGGAGTGCAGTTGATATGATTTTCACTGCCTGACAGATTCAAGAAAAGTGCTGTGAACAACATCAGGACCTGTTTATGGTCTTTATTGATCTCTCCAAAGCATTTAGAGAATGCTTAGGGGAAGATGGGGGTACAGGAGGTAGTGCTATCGTTCAGCAACTGGAAGGTTGCAGGTTCGAGCCCTGGTTCCTCCTGCCCCCATCAAGGTGTCCTTGAGCAAGACACTGAACCCCAAATCGCTCCCGGTGTGCAGGTTGGTGCCTTGCATGGCAGCCTTCGCCACTGGTGTATGAATGTGAGTGTGGATGGGTGAATGTGAAGCATAAATTGTAA